ATCCTAAATCCTGAACAAAATGACAAACACATTGCAGATTTTCTTTAAAAAAGAAAGGCAGAAAGAAGGAAGGAAGAAAAGAAAGAAAGAAGTCTATCCTAACCTCTTCACATACTGTTCTCACAGCACCATATATGCTGGAAATATTTGGATATTAAATTCAATTTTCTAAATTAGTGAAAATTTTAGAATCTTGCTCTAATTAGTATTTTTTTTCTGTTCAAGGATAATAGGAGCATAATAAAATAACAACCAGAACTAAAGAACCTTGTCATAGTTTTACAATGAAGCATCAAAGTTTAGAAGGCCCACTGCTATGTTTCAGTTCCCTCTTGCTGAGAGATACCTTTGAAGAACTATTCAGGAAAGCAACCATTTTTCACTTAATACCACACCAATCACGTAGCCAAGTTAATGATAGGGATTAAATGTGCATATTTATATAACATGTGTCTGAACACTTACACTTATAGAGATTTCTTTCAACATATATGGTTTACTTAACTGTAGTTCACCAATAATTTTATTGAAGATAATCAGCAGGTACTGTAATTTATAACACATAAACTTATACTATAATATTAGGTTTCTTAAAATTGCCCATGAGAGGATGGTTCAAAGTAAATGAATTTGATCCTTCCATGAGATCCTGCAGATTTCACTCTAAGGTTATGAATTAAATAATTAACATTTTAAATAATTTTCTTCTCCATCCATCTAAATCTGGACACAGATGCACATATCCACACAGAGACACAATGAGTATGATTATTATAATAAAAGTTCAAAGACTGAAATATAAAAGAATTGACAAACTGAAATGTGTGTCTTGTGGGATAAAAACTACCTTTTGCCTAAAAAAAAAGTACTGCAACTTTGTAATTTTCCAACCCAGAGTTGCAATTATTCTTATTTATGCATTATTTTATCTGTGAGGTTTATAAGCAGAAAAATTATTGATCCAGAAGTCCACATCAATAAATGTGAGTACTAAGATCATTTCCACCAAAATTGTAAGGATAATTTATTTCACAAAATGTTATTAACAGGTGCATGGTTTATGATGGTGTCTTATTAATTTGTTGGATTTTGTGTTTCACTTTCTGCAAATTCTTAGCTCCTTCAACTATAACATAGTATAACAAAATAAACTATAACCATAGTATAGCACAATGAAAACACTAATAATAATAAAACATTAGACCATGCAGATATGTTGTCATTTCAATTGAGTTAAATCTATTAGTGAAAGAAATCTACATATTTACCAAACTTTAAATAAAAAGAGGTTTATGGGGGGTTCCCATAATTTCTTTTCTTTTTTTTTTTCTCCAGTTTTTCAGCCGTTTTTCTTAGACTTTAAGATATCTGTACCAGGTTCATGTAAAACCCTGCCTTTGGGAAACTTCCTTTTCCTACTCCAATTTTGCAAACCAACCCAATACCAAACCTGAGCATTTTTGTTTTCAAGACTGAGAAAATAGAACAAGAATGTCCACACAACATTCTCTCAAAGAGTCAAAATTACTTTTCTAGTTCAAGAGGCCCTTAATAGTTCTCCAGTCACCCTCTGTATAGAAAGGTTTGTGACCCCAGCAATGAGAGCAGTTTAAGGCATTTCTATAACTGGCTCTTCCATATTTCATTAGGGCTGTCCACTCCTTCCTCTCTTTACCCTTACAATCGCTGCCTCTCATGTAGGTCCATTTTATGTTTTTTCTGCCACTATTTAACATTTAAATAAAATCACATTAGACATTTAAGTGAATTCACATCAAGTTTTTAAATAATATTAATCATGCTCATGAATGTGAATATTAACATGTTATGGATGTTAGGACCATCTGAAAAAATGTATATATTCTGTATCTTGAAATGAAAAAAATATCGTCACAAGATGGGGCAAACAAACTATACAGTTGATGATATCATATACACATTCAGTCCTTACCTGGTTAACTGCATGATGACAAACAAATCAAAAGAAAAAGTCCCCAGAATCATCTGTCTCCACGCTGCTCTGACAGCTTTACAGCTTGGGGCTTTCTTCTTAGCTTACATACATCTGACTGGCTATCCTTTGCAAGCAAAGCTAGGGTTAATTTGTAACCCTGGTCACCTCCTCCTCTTTTCTAACAGCTGTTTAGCAGCTCACACAGCAGGCAAAGTGCATTTTACCCTTTCAAATAGAGCCTTTACAGTGTCTCCAAGCCATGGCTCCCCTTACAGGGAGGTCTCAGCTCTGAGGGACTGATCATGTTCTGGACCTAAAGGAAAAGTGCAAGGCTTTCTGCTTCAACTCTTAGAGACTAGGAGAGCAGCCATCAAAGACTTCAACTCTCTCTGCCACTGTTTGGCTACAGATGTAGCAGAAACCTGCAGCTCTGAAGAGTTGCCCCTTCCCTAGTGGTCACCTCAGGAGTAGAGTGCCCAGAAATGGGTCTTCTTTCCTCTCACCCCAACCTCCAGAAAAAGGGGGTGAGCAATCCAAAAGAACTTTACAGTGGCTTTAATATAAGCATGTAGCTCCTATGTCTCAGATTGCAGATTGCATTGCATTCCAAAGGCTAGCTCCAAGTTGAAACCCAACTCACTTCACCCCTCTGCCCTCTGGAGTCTGTGAGTTAGTGAAGGAGTAAGGAAGGAGTAATGATGATTAGCAATACGTTAACACTGATATAAAAAAAGTCCTTTAGCTATTCTAAGCCCTACTAAACAAGCGGATAACGACAACGATCAGGGGTTTTAAAAACAGTCATCCTGGAGAAGCATCGCGCGCACTCTGTGCTTAGATTCAGCTCATGAAAACGATACAGAAATTGCAATGCCGAAAGATGTTAAGAGATTGCAGAAAAAAAGCAAGTCTGTTTTTCCCAAAGACGAGATTTGGGGGCCCAGGAAAACCAGGACAACAGGCTTTGTAGGAGGTTGCAAACCCTTGTGAGCCCACTCTCCTGGGTTGCAAATGTCCACAGAGAGCCGCAGGGTTGAGAGCGCAGCCTGCACCAGCAGATCGGGGACTCCATCCCCACCCTCGGGCTCCCGCACCAGAACTGAGCCCTGGGCCAGCCAGGCGATCAGGCGCTCTGCCCTCTAAGTCCCTAGAACCCAGGAGGCTTAGAGGTAGCTAGGAGCAGTCGGGAAATCTCCAGACACAGTCGCCTGTTGCTAGTCCACTGGTTAAAGCATCCTTGGCTGCGAGAGCCTGTTCCTTGTGTCAATTTCCCTTATACAAGACTGAGCTCAGGGTTCTAACACAGCAAAACGCACTTACCTAGACAGCGAATGTCTGTGCCACACTGATTAAGCAGAAAAAGGTCTGACTGCACTGAAAGTTTTCTCCTTTCTCTCTCGCTCCCTCCTCCCTTGCGCAACAGCAGTAGTCCTCTAGAGAGGATATGTGAATTGCGAATTACACCAAAGCCTCGTTTCTTCAAATGAAGTCAGGGATGCTAATGGCACTGGCTTGTCAGGCAGGATGAACTGAACTGGCAAAGACAGCAGGTAGAAACTAGCTCTTGGTGAGGGACGCCAAGAGGTGACCACGGTGTCAGCCCCAATCCCTCTCTCACTGGGAGAGAGGAAAGGGGGAAAGCCCTGGAATCTGAGAGGAGGGGGATGGGGCAATGCTGCAGCTGGAGTACTTTTATGTCTGGAAGCTTAAAAGGCTTTTGAATTAAAAAGAAAGAAATCATTGCCTAGATTGTCGCAGCAGTCACTGATGACTGGAATAGTTCTTTCCCAGAAATTAAATAGACACCCCCCCAAAAAATAACTTAAGGAAGAGAGGCTTGAACAATAGAACCTCACCTTCATCCACCCCAGTGAAGGGGGCTATTGCAGAAACTTGTCCTTATGAGGGGGGGTGCGTCACAGAAAATCCCTCCAGGTGCTTTACAGATAGATTCCTGACTCTTGCCCCAATGTGAAGTAAAAGCCAACATTTAAGTGTTTCTCACCACAACTGGATGGAATAGGAAGTGAGCATCATTTAAACCCATAGAAATGTTCATGAAAGCACAACACAGGGACCATATTAACATACTTATTAAAAGCTGAGGGCAGGGGTGGGTGAGTGTGAAGAGTGAGGCAATTACATTTTTCATGTAAAGTCCCTCCCTGAATTTCAGAATATTAGAACCCAGATAATCAGTGGTTTCTGATAGCTCTCTTCATCTGAAGGGAGACCTCCCTGACCAATTAACTGTTTGCCAGCATAATTCACAAAACCTGAAATGCATTGCAAAATGCTACTCAAACCGGAACCACAATGACCTAAATTTTGTGCCCATGTATGGTTTGGATATCGTATAAGAATTATGCCCCCAAAAGTCAGGCTCCTTTTCTTACCATATAATAACATGTTAGTGTTTAGGATCCTCTTAAATCTATAAAAAAGACACACTTTATCAAAGCGCTACCTCAACCATTCACTTGGTTAGGAGGAGGTGAGCACATACTGCACACTGACCTGGACAACCTTTTGATTGTTAGACTAGTGAACTTTCTTAAACCCAGAAATAGTCACCTCTCTCTCGGGCATTTTTATAGACTAACAGAAAAAGAAATGCCCTTCCAAATGGCACAACACTGTGCTCCAAGAGGGGTAAATTGCATGGGGGTGATGTTCATAGTTCATATTACCTGATGGAAACTTGTAATACAAATGAAAACATTTTTTTTAGAAAGAGGTATTGGAGCAAGTCATAGCATGAACTACATTTCACTAGTTCCAGAATGTACTAATGGTCACAGAGGTACTTACAATCTGAAAAATATCTATGCAGAGACACAGAGAGAGAGAGAGAGAGAGAGAGAGAGAGACAGAGAGAGATAGAGACAGACAGACAGACAGAGAGACAGAGACAGAGAGAGATAGAGACAGACAGACAGACAGAGAGGCAGAGAGAGACAGAGACACAGAGACAGAGAGCTTATTTTAAAAATAACAAAACTAGTAATGAGTCACAAGTTGCTCATCACATGTGAAAGATACTTACCACAGGAAATTTCATGAAGCAAGATGACTGTGAGAGAAATACATCCAGGGTTCAAGCAGATATTCCATGGTCTTCCAAAGCAGTGCAGATCTGTGAGCTGCAGGGCAGTAAGGCTTGGAAGTATTCAGCAGTTCCTGGTGGCATCTAACCAACTGAAAGCCAGCTATTCAGGGACTGGCCAAGATCCCCTAAGTAAAGGAGGCAAAATACTAAAGAAGTGCTTTTTACTGGGGCTGGGTAGCAGTGAGGACCTAGTCAGTGATGATCCTCAGGCGAACAAATTTACCGAACTGTATGTCCCCACACAGTGAGGAAAGGCTGGAGCTGGGCAAGCCACAGAGCAAGATGTGAAACAAACAGATCTGCAAAGAGAAGTAAAAGGATTTGTTGAAGACAGGGAGTAGAGAATTAGTGGGCTAGGCTGTAGTCATCCTCAGAGTGCAGCAGCAATGACTTAGGCTGCTGGGGATGGTCCAATGAGAATTCAGGAGAGCACCGCTTCGGAAATCCTGCAGGATCTTCCCACTCGCAGTTCTTTTCAGAGTTTACCTGTGTCGGGAACGTTATCATTAGGATTAATAGTATTCCATCAGTGCCTTTCACTAGCAGTTCCCGGAACCCATTCCCCTTGTAGCAACTGAGGGAAGCTTAATAAGAAAGCCACGCATAACCCACACCCAAATAAGCAAGCAGGACCGGTCGGTCACGTTGCCTTGATCAAATCTTCAGCGATTTTTGCATTGACAGAGGCTGGGACATGAATGGTTGGTTGAAGGTTCTAGTCGCTAGGAGGTTTTGAGGGCGCTATGCTTTGGAGGAATAGCTAGGGGACCCTGGAGTGGGTGATGGGATGCCTAGGCAGCAGTCACTCTCCTAGGTCCGAATTCCTTGTTCACTTATGCTGTCTGTATTTAAAGCGATTGGTTTTAATCCGGAGCCCTAGCGCCAAAGCCATGCTGTAAGAAGCGAGATTTTAGGACAGTCTGAGGACTGTCCCTGGTCCCTTGGGGGTGGGGTAGGAGGGTTGCAGGAGTGGCGAGTGGCTGTCTGTGCGGTGTCTTCCTTGCATTTGATCCCTGCAGTTACGGAGCTAAAGTAGAGAAACTGCTTTGCTGTGGATTGCATTGTCGTGTCATTTGGTGTACTGATACCGCATAAACGATCACCTGATCCACAGATCGATTGGGTAAGATTAGCCTGATCTCTTCTCCCTTTTCCTTTCTATGACCCCATTCCTCCCCACCCCACCCCCAACGTCTCCCTCACTAACTCCCCTCCCCCCATCCCTCTCTTCTTTCCCTCTTTTCTCTCCTCTTTGAAATCTGCCACCAGGGAATTGCCTGTTTGACAGAAAGGCTGATAACTCTGTAACTGATTTATTTTTTGACCGTGGAATGAACATCACCCCGTTGCTCAAAATCTTTTTAAGGGAAGATTCGGGGCCCCCATCTCTGTAAAATCTCTGAGTGACCCAGAGGTGTATACAGAGCACAGTCAGGTTGGAGTCATCAGCTCTGCACTCCAGTATAGTCTTGCTCCGGACCCCAAAGCTCACAAATCATGTGTTTGTCTGTTTTAGAAATAGGAGGAAATGGTATCCTGGAAATCGATTTATTTGCTGTAGAACCAGAATCTCTGAATGATAAAAGGGCTAAGCATTTACCGTAGGTAAAAATGTTCTTGGTAAATAATCTTATTTTCAGCGGCTAAAGAGGCAACACATTGCTTCTCAGTAGCCCATCCCCCACTCCATTCATTCGTTTCCTCTCTGTATGTAAATCACGGAGGAGCTGGGTCAGTGGAAATGTTCTTTTCCTCTTTCCTGGGAGAGGAGAAGCGACCAAATGTGATTTTGAAGTGGGGAAGGGCCTTTGGAGATTATATGGACACATTCAGGTCCTTCTTATCCTGTGTAAAAACACTGGCAGGTAAAGCAATCTTTGCCTTCTAAAGGTGTATTTAAAGATAAGCCTCCCTCTTAACTCTTTCTTTTCTGGAAATAACAACTATGCCATGAGAACACTTGAGTTGTTTAAACAACAACAGCAACAACAACAACAACATCCTTAGTTGTCTTTTCACATTTTGCAGGAAGCATAACACTAGAAATCTCTTAGTAAGCATGCATTTTATTTCTAATTCCTATATGTGATACAAATGAGTACATCCCAAGTGAATATTTGCTGCTCATGATGATGAAGCCTTCTGGGTCGCCAAGAGTCTATAGCACCCCACCTGTACATGGGTATCTTAAAGAGAAGGCATGTGCAAGCTTGTGAAAAAGCTGGGCAGCTCTTGATAGCACTGCTATTATATTCTGCTAAATGTGGAGAATAACAAGTCTTGAAAATTGTGTGAACTTGGATTGCAAGTGCAAGCTGACTCTTTTGGATACAAAAATATCACAGGAGACTATCAAAGAAAAAGCATTACAATTTTGAATTACAAAATACATTTCACTGGCAAGACATTTACATTAAATTTTCCCCTCTGTTATTAGTTCTGGGGTAGTACCTTATGTCCAAATATCAATAATAAATGATAAGCTAATTGGTGTAAATATACATGTCTAATGTAAACAAGAAGACTTGACCTTCAGCAGAAATATGTACTAGAATTCTATCACCAGCAAACTTCTTTTATGATTATCAACATTGTAGAAATCAGTACTATAACCTATAGATAGGTGTCAGACTATAGAAGAAAATAGTTTTTGTTTGCTCAAGGGTCTATAGTGTTTCTAATATGAAGACTGTCAAAGGCAAAAATTAGTGAAGACATGCTGCCATAACTTTCCTTTTTCTTTTCAGGATGCACACCTGCCCAGTACTGCAACAGAGTAGAAGTTTCTCTTCCTTGTCTAATTTTTCCAAAAGATGAATGATTTTTGTATTCATTATAGAGGCTTAAAAATTCTGCTAAGAGGATCTGAGGCCGCATAAAGAGAATCAACATATTGGGATACGTTCATTACAAATACAGCTTATCAACTTTGGAGTATACTTTCTTGCCATGAGAACCACTGAAAGTTGTCCAAAAGCACTTATCTAACTGACTGTTAAGAGGAATGTGTTGTTTATTGAGGATCCAATCTGACTTAAATCAGACAAATGAAACTAAATTATATTTTATAGCTATCCATAGTGATGCACACTTGTATTCTGTAATTCAGAAGTCTAGAAGTGAGGCAGGAGGACCATAATGTTAAAGCCATAATGTTAGAATATGTAGGAAGACCTTGACTCAACAAATAAAGAAGTGTATGTGTGTGTGTGTCTTCATATAATAAATTTAATGTCATTGTTCTTAAACATTTTAAATATTACAGGAGAAGAAACATTTGTTTCGACACAGTTTAGAAACTTATTGAAATATTTCAAGTATTAGGTATTTACTTGCTTGAATATATTAAACTATATGATTACGTAACTCAACTCCCACATAATGCCATAGATATTATATTCTCATCTTCTGCCTTCAAAGTAAGTCTGGTTTTTACAATGCTCTCAGAAGTCAACTTTTTCAGTTTCAAGTTAAGATCATTTCTTCTTGCATTTCACGATCGCCATCTGAAGCCCTTTATCTAGCAGACTTAACATCAATGATGGTTGTTCTTTGCTTCCTGTCTTTACTTCCTTTAGATCTGCAAATCAATACAATTCACCTATTACCTCACTAAAAATCTGCCAAGGAAGCATTAAAATGATTTAGTTTTAGAGATATAATGTAGCATTATACCATACTCAGAGTGTAGCAGGACCTCTTGCTTTGATCTTCAAAACCCCCTAAAAAGGAAAGAATATACACACACACAATAATTTTTTATGATTTGTATATATATATATATACATATATATGTGTGTGTGTGTGTATTCTGTTACTTGCATATAAAAGAGTCATATTTGACACAAAATTATGCATGCATATTTGCCCTCATTAAGATATTGCGATTTGTTCACTTTAGTCTCCTTACTGTGTTTATTTGTCTTTAGAGCTTTCTTGTTGAAAGTTTCCAAAGTTTCTTTAGTACTTCTCTGTGGAGTAAGCTTCACATTTAATTTTATAAGATCAGTGTGCTGTTAAACAAACTGAATCTGTGTATTTGAATCTTAAGTAAAAAAGTCTGTATTCTAGATGATATATAAAGGTTATATAGTCTGTCCTCTCATACTTATAAAGAAGCTAAAAACCACAAAATGCCATGGTTATTTTCAGCATGTGCCAACCAGTGATCTAAAGGATTGGAGATGGAGTGTTCTGGGCTCTTCAGTTACTGTGAATTCTATATCAACTGGATGCTTTAGTAGTTTTTACAGCTGGGGTCATTTGAAATTAAAATAATAAGTGGAAGGATGTGAAAAAAATACAAAGACCAATAACATGTAGCTAGTTATCTCAGAGCTTTTAGGAAACTGCTAATTCCACATCTGCTCCAACTTAACATACAGACACTCCTCTATCCCACATATAAGGAGAAAGTATTTAAAACAATAATGCTGATTTCTTTTTCTTTTTCTTTTCTTTTGGTTTTTTGAGACAGGTTTTCTCTGTATTGTTTTGGAGGATGTCCTGTAACTTGCTCTATAGACCAGGCTGGCTTCAAACTCACAGAGGTCTGCCTGCCTCTGCCTCCTGAGTGCTGAGATTAAAGGTGTGCACCACCAATGCCGGGGTAATAATGTTAATTTCTTATGGACTCCCTTTAGTTTTTCATTTGTACATGTGTTGGATCGTCTTTAGACTATTTCTCCCTCACACTACAAACTATACAGAGTCTCGCTACCTGTGATGTAATACTCCTTTAAGCCACAGCTGATTTACTTCTTAAATTTCTACTCCTCAAAGAAAATGGGAGTATTGCAATGAGAGAAGCATGATTTAATAACCTGCATATAAAAGATATACAACTGAAAAAGTTTCTTGTAATGGAAACATGCAGAACAAAATAGGTTTTATTAAAATAATCAAAGAAATCTTTCCAACTTGTAACAATGTACAAAACCTTAGTCACTTCTAATTTCTCAATATTCTGGGGATCAAGAAGCCATTGCAATTTAGTTCATTCTTTTATATATGTCAATATTTGAGTATATTATTCAGGTTTTTATTTAATCTATTTATTCATGCATCAAACCAAAAAATGAATGTGAGCAACAACATCCATTTGCCAAATATCCGTTATTAATTATACAGGAACATCAAAAATAGAAGTCAAACCTAAATTTGTATGTTTGAGAAAGGATTTCTCTGTGTAGCCCTCTCTGTTCTGGAATTAACTCTGTAAACTAGACTGATGTCAAACTCAGAAATTCACCTGCCTCTGCCTCCCAAGTGCTGACATCAAAGGCATGTAATACCACCACCCTGAAAAATTAAATATTTTTAAATGCCCCATCTTTTTACCTTACCAAATTAAAATGTTTAAGTTAAAAACATCTTTTGTGACTTATGGAAACATTGCTAGAAACATTTTTAGTAGAGATTTTACTGCTGCATGTGTTTGTGTGATCAATAAGTCTTTATATGCAGACTTTATATGGTGTTGAATGCATTTCATATATCATACTGTCTACTACTCTTTCTACATGAAAAAAATCATGATTGCTTCCTTCATGATGTTTTTAACTACCTCCCTCTAAGCTCCTGTTAACAAACACAGTACTGAACACAGGGGGAAAGCTCAATAAATATCTATTTAAAGGCTCAAACTAAGTACTTCATTAAACTCTCCAGTATTTTAGGCATTGTTGGTCTCATTTAATTTAACTAATTATTTATAAATATAGTTGCTGAATAGAAGAATCTTTTTCAAAATATGTTTACAATATTTCTTATACATTGACCCAGTGAGTCAAATCCTGTTAGAAATGACAGTCTTCCTGAGCAACTCCATGGCTTATAAATGTGTTAGTAGGCATGATATTAACTTGATCTCTTCACGTGTTGTGAAGTAAATTACACGATTTTCTACAAATAAACTGAAGTGTTAGGAATCTATAAGATTGCATTAAGTTACTTCAAATCCAATAATTAGCTACAGAATTATTCATAGTCAAAATGGCATCAGATACATATGATAGTAGATACACAAAATACTATTTAGGACCTAGGGGAGGGGGCCAGGAAGATGAAGGAGGAAGCAAGAATCATCCTCAATTAATTGAAGACAATATGGAAAATACCACTCCCGTGATGAAGACCAGACGCTAAGCATGGAAAGATTAAATTCAGATGATGTAGAAATTTAAGAAATATTGAGATACAAAGAGAGAGAGACAGAGAGACAGAGAGACAGAGAGAGGGAGGGGGGCCAGAAGAGAAAAGCAGATGGGGGCTGAGGGAAGCATATTTTCAGAGAGAATGGCATGAAGCTATTTAATTCTTTTCTCCTTTATTTTTTCCACAGTGTACGATCAAGAATGCTAACTGAACATTTACTTAATTAGGATGCATCATTACTTTTAGTGTCTGATGAACTGAAAAGGCCTTTCACCTCTTCAAAGAAAATAAAGAGAAACTGAAATACTTGATTGCTAATTGTCTCGGTATCTCTAAGTCTCACCAACACTTGCATGTTTCCTTCTCAAGAAATCCTTGTAGGAGGATGAGAAACAATTCTTCACAGTCAATATCTAGTTTTGACTCTGTGAAGGAACTATGAGTACATAGACAAAATTATATTTAAAAGAGTATATAAAATTCATTCCACATGTATTGAAAAAAGTAAGTCTAAAAGTCTATTTGATAATTTTGGCTGTCTGCTTCTGCTTCCATCAGCTACTGATTAAAGGCTCTAGGATGGTACATAAGGTAGTCATCCATCTCATTATGGGAGAAGGGCATTTAAGGTAGCCTCTGAACTATGGCTTAGATTGTTTGTTGGCGTCAACTATGTAGATCTCTGGATATTTCCCTAGTGAAAGATTTCTCTTTAAACCTTTAATGGCTCCCTCTATTATGGTATCTCTTTTCCTGCTCTCCTCCCCTCCTCTTCTCCTCTTCTCTTTCTCCTAAGTCCCTCTTCCCTCCTCCCATGTTCCCAATTAGCTCAGGGGATCTTGTCCCTTTCCCCTTCTCCTGGGGATCATGTATGTGTCTCTTAGGGCTCTCCTTGTTTCCTAGCTTCTCTGGCAGTGTGGATTGTAGGCTGGTAATCCTTTACTGTGTGTCTAAAATCCATATATGAGTGAATAAATACCATGTTTGCCTTTTTGTGACTGGATTACCTCGCTCAAGGTGGTTTCTTCTAGTTCCATCTATTTGCTTGTGAATTTCAAGATTCCATTGTTTATTTTTTTATTTTTGTTTTGGCTGAGTAGTATTGGAATCTAGTTTCAGAGAGGGAGGAATGATGAACAATGTGGTTAAAGCCAGGCTGGAGAAACTCACAGAAACAGCTGACCTGAATAAGGGGGAGCTCATGGACCCCAGATTGGTAACTGGGAAACCAGCATAGGACTGTTCCACACCCACTGAACATGGATGTCATTTGGAGATTTGGTTAATCTATGGGGCCTCTAGTACTGGATCAATATTTATCCCTAGTACAAGAATGGACTTGGGAGCCCAATCCAAATAGACGGATACTCTCTCAGTCTAGACTTACAGATGAGAGTCTAGGCCCTGCTGCAAATGATATGACAGACTTTGAAAATCCCCCATAGAAGGCCTCATCCTTCCTGGGGAGCAGAAAGGGCATGGGATAGGGGGTAAGTGGGCTAGAGGAGAGGGAGAGGGAACAGGGATTGACTTGTAAAACAAGATTGATTCAAATTTAAATGAAACATTAAATAAAAAGTCTAGCCGGGCAGTGGTGGCACACACCTTTAATCCTAGCACTCAGGAGGCAGAGGCGGGCAGATCTCTGTGAGTTCGAGGCCGGGCTGGACCAACAGCCTCCAAAACAATACAGAGAAACCCTGTCTCGTAAAACCAAATAAATAAATAAATAAATAAGTAAATAAAAAGTCTATTTGTCAAATACTTATTGATCATTTACTTAACATCATCTGTGAATAGTATCCTATAAAGAAAACAAGATTTTAAGTGTTATAAGAATACAAAAGTAAATTACAAAATTGTAGTTCTAGTTGGAGAATAAAGTAAGTATATAAATAAGCATGAGTAGTTTTTATTCTACTCTGTATTTCACCTACTTCATTATCTACCCATTTTTAATAAAAGAAAACAAATATATTGATGTCATTTGTAGTCCACATGTTTCCTAGCAAAAATTCATTAAATGAAACAGTGAAGGAGAAAGACAATAAGTAGAATAGAAATATTAAGATAATCAATCCATCAATAAATGGAAAATATAATAACTTTGGAATCAAATATCACTGCTTCTATAAGTCTTCGAATTTCTTTACAACAGCTTTAAGCAAAAGCTTAAATTTTCTTAGACTTAGTTGAAGTTGAATGCTTTTTTGTGAATGCCATAAATGAGAACTCAAGACAAATTAAGGTTTGCTTTGTTTCTTCATTTGTTTGCATAGAGGTCAGAAGAGTTCCCAGAATGGCTTTGGTGTTCTCATTTGCAAGGCTTCAGTGATCCAATAAGGTATCCTCTCATGGCTTAGTATTGTGCTGAGGCTTTACACTTTCGGGTTGCAAATGTGGGCAAAAAACAACATGAAGCATCTGTTAGGAAATCTGATGGAAATTTAGAGTCCATTAACCAAATCCTTCACAGGATTGAATACAACTAAAAGAAATTTGGACATTAAAGTCATTCTTTCTGTCTAGAAAGATAAAGGCAAAAAAAGAATAAAAAAACATGCTACATTAATTTCATCATACTTAAGTATTTTTCTAAATCATTAAAGAAACAAATTGTATATTCAATATAGAGTAATTCCCAGATTCTTCTGTGGATAACTTAGGTAGAAAGTTTAATAAGTGAGTCACGTAGGAAGGGTAGCCAAGGGAAACTAGATCACACTAGAATCTAAAATGTACTTAACAGATATTCAGTACTTACTTAATACTTCTTAAAGGAGTGAATATCGATTTTCTCTAAATAGTGCTAAAAATGACTCTGTGTTATTCAACTGGACATACACATGCTAACACACTAAAAAGAGCAAATATGCACACAAGGTTAATTAGAAGCTGGCATTATATATTTTACAAAAAGTTGCTCAAAATAGATGACTGACTTAAGTAAAAAGAATAATTATACAAGTATGAGAAAACATCATATATAAATATCTAGATGATCTTGAGTTTAGAAAACAAATAAATAACTAATAAATAACACATGACAAATAGTAAGTTGAGCATCATTATCAGTAAAAAGTTCCTTCATTACAAAAAGTAATTCAGATGTGGAAAGATGGGCCCAGGCTTGAAGTAAAATTGTCCAAAGCAAATATATGAAAATGAACAGGCATTACATTATCCAGGTATCATACAAAACTTAGCAATCATAAAGAAAATCAAATGAAACTGAACAAAAGATTTGAATAAAAACTTCACCAAAAATGATGGCTGTGACGGGTTTTTCCTTCTTTTGTCTGTCTGTGAATTCATGATGTTCCATTCTCAGAGATTTCATGGCCTACCAGAGAACCTCCTTCATTATCATTACAGATACAGAGACCTTAGTAAAGACCCAAATCAGAAATTAAACATTTCTCTTGGTAAAAAATCAGGGGACAACTAGCTGAAGACAGAACAATAGAATGGGTGAGTCTGTGGACCTGAAGGCTCCCAGACTACTCTTAGACAGAAACTTAACACTTCTCAAGAGAAAGACAAAGAAAATGCATTTCTCATTTTGTAGACCATTTTAGAAGTGTCAAATGATAGACCTTTCCAAATATCAAGAGTTTCCTTTACAAGGAGTTTGTCCTTCTGTCTGTTTAAGTATGGGAGACACTTTATCTCCTCATGGATGAGAAGCCTTCTTTGATCCCAATATATAGGACTATAGAGTACTATAGAAAAGAATGGGGTTCTTTAGTAACATGATATGGTGTAAAACCTTAATAAATTGAAGACACTGGTTACAGAGGAGGACAAATGAAAACAATAGATGTCCACTAAGAAAAAGTGTTTTATATGGAACTATTTATGACTTCCTTCTATAATTAAGAATTCTGGGAGTTAAAATAATAGTTACAACAAAGAAATTGTTCAGGATAATTTGGTACAGTTTATGAAGTTTATCCAGAGGCTAGGTAAATATGTTCATGTGGTAGAGCACTAGGAAAATTTTCACAGGGTTCTAAAATTTGTATTTGCATTCAATTTATGTTCACATAATACTTGGGAAATCATGTCCATGTGACAAGCTATTATTCCTCACAGACATAAGTTCACATGATCATTCTGAATGAATACTACCTTTTTGGGAACTTCCAAGCTTCTGTTCCTGAGAACATGAAGTCTTGCAGTCATTTAAAAGAGTCCACTCTGCAATGACTTCCTTCTAGGGATTGAAGTTTGGCTATATTTCTGGCATAATATGAACAAACATCAAAATGAATGAGAACTTTTTTGGTTATAAGCTATAAAGTAACTCTTCTGGGGTCTTAGAAAAAAATGAAACTGAAACCTCTTTTCCCCTAATTTCTACAAAATTGGTTACTTAGGAAAAAAGGGATCAATAAACAAATGAGGAAACAGGAGATATGTACTTCCTGACTAACAAGATTTCGCTAAAGGATTGTTGAGAGCTTATACTCTTTACATGGGAGTGAGGTTTTATGAGATGCCTTCCATCCATTCTGGAATGTCAGTTGATTTTGTAAGTATGCATGTTGTTAAGGTGACCTTATATCATTAAGATTTCATGGGTATGCCTGCCTGACCAATATAGAACAAACTATATAGCCACAGGTTTCCTGGTCCTCCCCTTTTTATTGTCTTCTACCCCATCTTCCACAATGTTTCCTGAGTCTTAGGAATTGGGGTTGTATTGTAGAGTCAGGGACTGGGCACTTCAAATCATTTATTCTATGTCTTTTACAAGTTATGGATTTTTATGATTAACTCTTCCTTTTGCTGTATGAGGAAATTTCTCTGGTGAAGATTTTGAGATATACTTTGTGTCTATAAGCAATTTAAAGCACAGCTGGGGATTACACTAGTTTAGAAATGGATCATAATAGGATATGCTTTATAGTCAATAGGTTCCCCAGCCAGAAGCAGTTCTGTGTCTCTGTATTAGCCTCTATCTGCTGCAAAAGAGGCTTATTGGATGAACACTGAGAGCTTCTTCATTAATTTGTAGGGGAACAGTGAATCATAGTTCACTATTCGTGAAATTGCAAATGAGTGCAATTACTATGGAAATGAAAGTGGACAATTCCCCAAAAGCTAAAGTAAATATTCATGAACCCACTATATCACCTCTGTTCATATGCCCAAAAGACTCAACATTAAATTTAATACATTCTTGGTCATGTATTTTCTTTGCCTCAGTGTTCACAATACTTAGTAATTGGTAACAACCCAAACATTCTTTAGTTAATGAATGGATAATGAAATATAGCATAAATACACAGGGAATTTTATTC